CTCATCTTTGATGGAAAGTTATTCTGTTTGTTTTTTCATTCCGGTTTTTGGGATTTGATTATAGCGAATAGACTTACAATCCCAGCGATCGCGTTTCCTCTTTGGCCTGCGTAATGTGATATAATATACAGAGTCGCGTTAAAGTGTCGAATCCAGTCAGCGAGTCGCGTAGGCCGATGGCTGTGTTCCCGTCTTATTGATTATTCAAAAGTAGGTTCAGCGAGCGCAAGAGATCACCATGCGGGGAACAGTGCGGACCCCGGAATAATACAGTCAGGCGGCCAATTCACGAATCTTCTCATTCTCATCCTTCGCGTCGCGTTAATGTGCAGACACACAGGCAGGAAAATCGATTCCAGCGCGTGTCTGACCTTCACGAGATTGACTATCATCCCTTCCGCGACCATTTACGCTGCTCTTTGATTAATTGCCCGTTCTCGCGACCTTCTTTATCCCGTGTAATTTCGTAGTTGTGTAAAATAATCGTGCAGCTACGACGAACTCAGTTTGTTCTATTTCTATCGCTGGCCTTTTTTTCCGCAACCGAAAAGACACGGCTTATGATACCCTTGGTCTAGATAGATAGACTCCGATACTTGACAACTCCGTTGCTTGACTTTTAGACGTATAATCCGATAGATATATTATAATTTATTCCGGTAACCCGATCAGATTTGCGTCAACTGCCATTTACTCTTTACTTTTCTGCAAGATCCAATACCCTACATATAGCGTTTGTTAATTCACACAGAATAATACGAACTGTACGCAAATAATAATTACTTGTTTCAAGTTTTTAAAAAATTAATATAATCTACGAGCATCAAATTTATTTAAAATAAATTCTGAATTCTAGTAAGTTTAATACTTTATTCAAGACTATTAAATTGAAACGAATTCCATTTGCTTATTATATAAAGTCGCTTCTTTGAATTCAATTTGAATCACTTTTCCTGATTGAAGGCCGATTTAGAATAATTTCAACTTATGTCGTTTTTCTCATGGAACTGTGATATAATGTTTTGTTTTATAGAAATCCAAATATAAATATCGTGATTTTTTAAGTATAAATAGTTAGACGTGATCAATTAAAAATTAACTGAATAAAAATTTTAGATGATTTAAAGATAAATATCTGGCTGGCAGGTTTGAGAGATCCAATCTATAATTCTAGGGTTGACGTAATAATGCAATAACAATGAGAGTAATGGTGCAATAATGTTCTATCTGGAAATTGCTTAAACGGTTATAATTGACAGATCAGTAAATTCAGTCGAGTAAGCAGTCGCGTTAAGAAAACCGGTTCGAAGGCCAGTAAATGTCAAGACCAGCTTTTTCAATTAACTCTGATATCTAATGAAAGCGAAGGTGATGCTCTAAAGACAAAAGACTAAAGAGAACTATTAGCGACTAGCAGTAGTAAGCGTTACTATTCTCGGTCGGCGATGGCACATTCCGATCAGTCGTGTGCCAAATCTCGTCCACAGGGCTAGATGTGTACCATGACCACATTGCTTCTCTTTCATTTCACGCATCTATACCACAATCGGTCACGTTATCTTCGTTTGCTATAATTTACATGTTGTTTTATCTATCCAAGGACAAAATTATTCTACCTAGTTATGCGCAGTATATGCTGCGCATATTATTTTAAAGATGTTTTATAGCTGTACAATTATCAGCTAAAAGTATTAATCAGTCAACCAAAATAAGCTGATATTAATTAATATCATTCAAAAAATTTTGATATTTTAATTCTCTAATATAATTACATAAATATTGAGATTTAATTATAAAAGTTTACAAGATAATTTATATTTTATTCTGACACAAAATATGAAATATTTTATAGATAATTTAATTAGAATATTTAATTTTAGATAATTTTATTTAAATACTTTTATGCACCGAACAATAAAATGAATTGGCTGACTTAAAAAAGAATGCGTTTATAAGTAATCCATTACATTTGCTTTAAAATTATTTTTGCTTTAAAATTAGTTTAAATCTAGTGACTAGAACTAAAGTTAAAATTGAAAAAGCCTTATGAATATATAAACGTTTACGTAAAAAATTTTAAATGCGAAAAGTGTGAATGTTTTTTTTAATATGATAAAAAATATCAAATTAAAAAACAATCTTTTAATCTTCTTGTAAAATAATCATTAGATTGTACAAAAAAGTTGTAGTATTTTCTTAGTGAAAAGTAAAATTTAAAATATTTAGAGATTAAAAAGTATAAGCGAATAGATAGCTCACAATAGATACGCTCACACTTCTAAATAAATATTTCTTTGTAGTATTCTATTGTTTAAATTTAAGTACAATTGAGGTCAATGAAATGCTCAATCACTTAACTGAGATAATCTTATCGAGAACAATTATGTAATTCATTCATAAAACACTGTTGAAAATACAAAAGCAACAAGGTTCACTTTGTGAGAGAACATCGTTAATGGCGGTTATTTAATAGTTGCTTATCGGTGGCGAATTATTGCAACTAGTCGTTGCTACACTAATACACATATCCCTGTATTGTTTGGTCACCGTATCTGTGTACATACGTGACCATCGTCACATGCAGAAGCCGAAGGTTCAACAACCTTATTAGCTAATAGTCCTTCATGTTTGATTTCTTGTTTACTGTGGCCCTTTCAGTGGAAAATATACATGTCTGCTGGACGTCAATTTCTATTTTTTTTATCAGTTTTAAGTAAACGTTCTACGCTTTTGAAATATTATTTTAATTATAAAAACTAAAGCGAAATTCTATAGATTTAATAGATTACTATAGAAAATCATTATTTTAACAGAAAATCTGTTTAAAAACTTGCTATTTTTTTTTAAGAAATTTAAACAATCGGAAATTCTTAAGAAATTTTTATACAAATGATCTTTTCGAAGATTTTATTTTTATTTTCTAATAATTTCGAATATTATAAATATATAAAAATGCTAATTAGACATATTTTTTCACATAAATCTTGTTTGAGATTTTAGATTCTTGTGCAAGTTTTTTATTTGGTTTTATAAACAAAAAAATTTAGTTTTTCTTTATTTCCTATAAAATAAAAATTAAAGGAAGTAATATTCGGTATTAAAAGGTTAAAAACTTTATCATCGACGATTTTAAACATTTCTAAAGAGACACAACCCATACAGCACAGAAGCTTGCAGCTATATTGTTACAACTTTTACATTGTTACTGCAATATTGTTTCAATGTTTTTGCAAAGTTGCTGGAATGATGTTTGTATTATATGAACAACTGTTTTTGAATTTTCAGATTACACCATGCAACACGCCAGCAACTCCGCCGAATTTCCCGGACGCGTTGCTGGCGTTTTCCAAAATGTCTGCAGGTGAAAAAACTCCATCGGGTAAGTTATTAATTATGACAATTATAACCTTATGCTAATAATTAAAAACGCTATATAAATTGTCTTGTAAACCTATTTTAAACGTAAACTGTAATTGCGTAAAAATTCAGTACAGAATTCGTTTCATAATTTATACGTGCATGCTGTTTGTTTTAGTGAGCGTTATATATATTCCAACATATGTATATTTACCGCGTGTAATCCAATTTTTCAAATGTTTTTCATTTTACACGCTGCGTAAAATTATATATAGATAAAAATATTATGATATAATTAGTTCAACAAAGTTTTACACTGGCTTGTTATCGGTTAAACCAATTACGTAACGTGGCAATTTTTGTTTATTTTGATAATACCTCTTCCGAAAATGTCATCGGTAAAATGCGAGGATAAATATATCGCTTGTTTGCTACAACGATATTATTAAAAAATTGTTATTTTAGTTGCTTCCAGAAAAAAAACAGAAACAAAACATTTTAAGATATTTTTATTTCTCTATAATCAATTATTACATAAATACATTTCAAAAATAACATTACGAAATTTTAATGAATCAAAACGTTGAAACTCTTTCTGGAAAACTTTGTTTTTTTTTTTTTAATTGTGTCATTGTTACGTAAATAAGCGATATGAGCGATATTAATGTTTATGTAATTAAAAAAGCGTCATATCAGTCTTCATGTGATTGTAAAGTATTTTACGGTAGTCAAAGGTCGTTTATTAAACGTGCTGCAGGTATGTCTCCGAGCCAGAATGGATTTCAGGCGAATTCGACACCGATGGCGGGCATCGTGCAGCATCATACCGCCGGTGGCCGGTGTAGTGCATCCGGCAACACGACACAGCAACAGACACAACCTCAACAAACGCAATTCGGCCTGGGCGAGCCACAAAGATAAAAATGACTGTGCTAATTGGCGATGCGCAAGCACGAAACGTCACGTAGATACGCGCGATAACGTTTCCGGAGAACAAAATATTGCGCTCTAAGCATGAAACGAAAAAGAGAGAGGGAAGTGAAAAATGTGTATACGGAAAAGAGGAAACTATGTTTTCTGAGAAAATGCATCCTTCCCGGAAGAGAATAAGGGACATTCTCGAACATCGCAGCGACTATACGGAAGGTATCTTCTGCAGATCAGAACTGGAATTATTGAATCGTTACGTTATTCACGCACAATAAGCGAAGCGTGCATTGTGTTACGTGCGAATGCGTGAATAAGTCTGAGTGTTAATTTCCCCGGCGATGCCCGAGAGAATGTGATACGATATTTCGATGACTAGATTTCCTTCTCGGCTTCCTCGAGAGATCTAACGTAGAACGGTACGTTGAGTATAGTCCTCTATATCTATATATATAGTGGCACAAAAAACGCGAGAGAGGGAGAAGGGACGAAAATCATATCAAAGAGCCTTCTTTTTTTCTCTGACACGTCGGGACCACCTCATAGGTCCAAAACGGTCGAGGACATCGACAACTTGGAATAGACGCACTATGAGAACGGCTCCTTCACTCCAATCTGACTTCCTTGTCTCCTTAGACGCTGTAGACACGCGACTGTTTCTCAAATTCACTGTACATCACCGTTAGACTAGGCGATGGATTCCTACTATCACTTCCACACCACAGTACAAAAGAGTTGCGAGGTACAGTTTCCTCGATTACTTGAAAACTTACTCTTTATCGCACATTTTCGCGGAAGATATGACGGGAGATTGTACGTATCTTTAATGTAGATGGACCGACATCGTTACTGTACGATGACTCGGCAGACATTTATTTAACCGTGGAACTCGAGTGTTTTATTACGATTCTTTCGCTGTTCTCTTAAAATAGTGATGCTTACGGTACGCGTTATTTGGGTAACGCATCCCGTTTCCATATACATAAGCGATATTTCGATGGTATAAATATACGAGGCTAAGTATAATAAACAAAGTTCTAACGTGTAAAAATTTGTAAAAAGAATATCTCGAGTTATGTAACGTTCGTTTTACATAATAAATAACTATGTAAAAAGTAAGTAAAATAAAAAAAAGAAAGAGATCTCGCGAGTGATAAAAGTATAATAGTCCGAAGGATTGATTAGGGAATTATTGAGGAATTAATGTAACCCGGTGAATACGAGCAATGAGGAATTCTTGATTCGATTATTTCGGCTATTCGCGAATGTACTAGAGATTATTGCCTGAGTTTACGCAGCACTAGACTTCACGATGTTCACAAAAGAATGCTCTTGTATGGCAGCTGGCAATACGATTCTGATATCATAGTATATCAATATCCGAATATATGGAACTCTGTATCTTTCATTATATTTCTCGTAACATACATGGATGATTATTCATATTATAGATACATACTTGTTTTCATTAAGACTCTATTTATTCAATGTAGCAGCAAATTTAGTTCTTCACAGCTTTTTAGAAGCTTGTTTCTAGTTTGAGGCTCCCATTCTTTCGCTGCAACTTTGTTGAATTAGAATATCTGAAGTGAGAAATCGTATATATCTTTTTCTTATGCTATACATTTAAATGAATTAGTTGTTTCGTTTATTGGATATTATAAATTGATAAAATATATCGAAAATTTCTTATTATTTTGCATTAATGTCTTTTAAGTGTAGTATTAATGTCTTTTCAAACGAAAATGGACATTATAACACTTTATTTCAAATGTGCAGTTAATTTTTTTATTAACTCTGAAAAGATTCTTTAATATATTTTATCAATCAATATCAAACATGTAGAAAAACTAATCTCTTTCAATGTACAATGTAAAAAAAATATTTGCATTTCTTGCTGCTGATGTTGTAATATGGCTGTAGTGTGGAAATAGGATCTTTGACCTTCAACTATCAGAGAATTCTTTATTCTTTGTCTCTCGATATATCTGACAACAAAATGTCTTTACGGATGCAATACAGTGTATTCGATCCTTTTATTTGTAGTCATAATAGCCTCGATCATAATACAAATTTATAGTCCAAGCTTAATTTGATAATTTAACTTTCATGCAATAGTATCCAGGCGTCGTATAACTTTGTTAATGGATTTATGTAAATAATAGCAGATATTTAGTCGTAAGAAAAAAAGGTACTTTGTGAAGTACGAGATATTTTTCTCAATAAGGTACACGCTTTAATATCTTCCTTAGTTTGTGTACTGTCTAGGCTGTATGATAGTATAAAACTATCGACGAAGAATGAGAATGTTTTACTATGTTGAAATTATGATTATTGTTTATTTGACTATTACAAAGAGACAGATAATGGTCATGTACATAATTTTGAAAAATTAAATAAATATTGATAATTATGCTTTTTCTTCTCTTCTATCTTATTGTTAATCTTGTGATCTAGTTTCAATGATATCTTTGTACTTTAGAAATTTAAGAATGAACAGCCGCTTTTATAATTATAAAATGACTACTATATACATTTGCGTACGATGTAGGATATATACATGTACACATAATCTCTCACGAGCAGCCATGAATTACGAAAAGTATTGATTTATATGTAACACAGCAATTAATAAGTTACTTAAAAACAACTGGTAACTATCGATATCACTTTCTATCGATATTTTTCGATGTTATCGCGGTATAAAATATATAAATACACGACGAAAATACGACTCGCTCGTATTTTTGCCAACGCGCATAAAAAATTTACATCGATTGTGTAAAATTGCATTCGTATTTAAAATTCCTGAAAATTATTATGGTTTATTGTGGTGGTATCTCAACACTTCTACCTAGACCTGACCATCTATCTGGTACTGGCAGGAAGTAGCGATGCATCGCAGCTATAAATCTGTCTCGGTATTCTTGCGGCGATATTATGGTCGGCAATTTACCTTGACCACCCAATATACCAGATTTTTTCACCATCGTCTCCAGTTTTTTATCCCACGTAAATGTTCTTATGTAATCTGTATAAATTGCGAAAGATAACAAGTATAAAATCGTCAGTCGAGAAAAAGGCGATAATATACGCAGTCATTCTCACCTATTATACCGAGCACGAGTTCGTCGGAGCTCGGTTCCAAGCCTACTAATAACGAATAATCCATTACAGAATTGTCAGCTAAGAATTTTGTGTCCTGTTCGATAGCTCGATTTAATACTGCTTTGGAATGCGATCGAATATACAGAGGAGAGTCACAGCTCACTGAAATGCGAATCTTAATTTTACGAACTTATACGGAAAGAACGGTTTTACTAAAATATTTAAAAATTTAGCTAGATATAAATCTGCAAATAATTTTATAACGTCCAAACAAAATTATTTTCAAATCTGATTAAACTGATGGCTAGAATATATAACTTTTGCATCATCATCAATATTAAGCGTTCCACATAATTATTTTGATATCCAATAAAATTATTTTCAGATCTATAGCTAAATTTTTAGTTACTTGAGCAAAATGATTCTCATATATTTGTAGGCAAAAGTTGGAAAGAGTACATACTGTTCAACAAATTCTCGTCCAACAAAACTAGTTCACCCTCGTGGCATGTATTATCAGGATTCGCTAGCCGATTTCGCACAGATCCCTTCAAATCGAATTTGTCAGTAATGATTCGATTATAAAAGAGATTCTCCATTACTAACACACTAGTACGAAGTGCCGCGTTAGTTGTGTTGTTTTTAAACGACACTCTGTATACACCAACTATCTTGCCTAGCAATGTCGGTTGCTTGGTTTGCTGACACCTTTCCATGTAGGCGAAATAATTGGGTGCGAAATCAAGGAAGATTTGCATATCGAGCCGAGACATCTCCTTTATGATGAATCTATCATCTGCAAAAGAAAATATGTCTAGTGTGCTATAATCAAAATGATTAAAAATTAAAGACCGTTAAAGATTCGTGCAGAAATTTATTTTTTTTATTTTATAGCAGATTACAGTGAATATACGTAATTAAACGTGTTTAGTTCAATATCATTTTAACATCAAAGATAAACTATGATTAGATAAAACTTATTATATTATCCCTTTTTTCACCTTAAGATTAATAAATTATATATTAAATAATCAAAGCATACAACATACCTCTGCTCTTACAGAAGGCACTGCCGCTCTTTCCACCTCTGGCTGCCCACTGCACGGTTCGACTTAGACTCCTCGTGAAGCCATCCTCGCCACAGGGCAGAACGTTCTCTCTCAGTGCAGCAAACTGCGCGGCAAAGTATATCCTGCAGAAGAAATTGGTTGTGGCATCGTTAAATTGTACTTCGATGTAATTCTGCTGCTTGGTCGCTTTCTTGTCGTCGTCAACGTCAGGACCGACTACGCTACCGCCGCTCGTTTCCGTGTTTGACATATTCTTGTCGGATTCAATGGGGCTGCTGGCTGAATTGGGACTGTTGCCTCGAAAGAAGGACAGCACAGACGGCCGCTTGAATTCGTTTGATTGCGCCAGGTCGAGGGAGCTGTCCTTACCTTCGGGAAATTTGCGTTTGCTCAACGGACTAGGGTTCGATTCTGATCCCTTCGTTGAACGTAAGAGCTCCTGCAACGCGTGCTTGTAGTCATGTGAGTCCAAAGCATACGCAATTATAGACGAAAGTTCGGATTCATAGACTACTATAGGTACTACGGATCTGCAAAAAAATTGAACTATTTTATATGTATACAAAATATGCATAATTATTATACATAACTATTTTATA